TTACAGAAGTCACAGATGAGATGCAAAGCAAGAGATTTTAAGTCTTTGAAAATGCATGGTTACACATTTGATTTCACAAGCATTATATTTATTCCCACCTAATAATTATGGTAATCTCACTAATTAAGAAGGACTTAATTTTCACTTTTTATTACACAAGTAGCTGAAATGCTATCTATGGCTACCACATAATTCAAATTTTCACAAAAGCAACCTTCTTTTTATGTGCCTGTGTGTGGAGACTTGGTTTCATTCTGAGCACACCTGGCTTTGCTGAGCATACATTAGCCATGGCTTTTTCTCAAGGTTCCTTCTGTTGTTTTCATTCCCACATTAAATGTGTGAAATTTGGTCTTTCACCTTCCAAAGGGCCTCAAAGCCATACCAAGCAGACTCTCAGGGTACCCAGATAAACCACAAATGGGAGAAAATTTTTAAATGTAATTTTTGTTTTGATCCCAACTATTTTCAAAACTGATTTGTAAAAGACTAACAGTCTCATTAAAATCAGCACTGAAGCTATGTTGAGCAGGANACTGATTTGTAAAAGACTAACAGTCTCATTAAAATCAGCACTGAAGCTATGTTGAGCAGGATGGAAGCTGTCCTGGAAAAACTACTGTAAAGAGAGTCACAGTGAGCGAGAAGAAAATGTTGCTCTGAGCTTCCTGGTGGCCAAGGCACTAAAAAGAGGAAGCATGATGAGTTACAGATTCACATCTAATAACATGAAGGAAAACTACTTTCAAAGGAAACTCTTTTCTACCTGAAGTTCTATAAATATTTTTGGTTTTGGAGCTCTTTATATGAAGGACATTAGACAACACAAGTGACAATATTTTCAATAGGAAAATATATAATGGTAAGTATCTTGGCCATTATTTACTTCCTACATATCCCACCACCTTCCTAGTGTACAAGGTGCTGTCCTTCTACTGATCTTATACGTTCTACTGGCAAAGTTCTTGGAAGGCAAGAAAGGAATTCAACCTTTTGGTCTGATTCCTAAAATCCCTACACTAGTACTATTTAGAAACTATAAACTTAAAATGTGAAAAAGAGAATCGGAGATGAGAACAACTCTACATTACCTTGAGTTTAGGATTAAAAGAGGCAACACAGTGTAATTACTAGAGTATGGTTTTTAGAATAAAACTACCTAAGTTCAAATTCATATACTGCCCCTTGGCATGATATGAACAGGTTAGTTTACATCTCTGTGCTTCAGTTTTCTCATCTACAAAATGGAAATAATAACAGCACCTACCTCACAGAGTTTGTAGTAAGAATTTATGTTAAGTGCTTGGAATAGTTCCTGCCAAATGGTAAGAATTAAGTAATAGCTTATTATTATTATCATTGTTATTAACCTCATGGTATTTTGAATGTTTAAATTCACACAAAGTATAAATTCTTCTGCTAAGTTAGTGTCTTACCACTTATGTTTTAGGTTCTTACTCCTGAAAAAGTCATTGAAAATCAGTCACCCTGAAAACAGAGACTTTTCTACATGAAGGGTGGGCAGTAGAACAAACTATGATCTGTAGTATTTAAGAAGAAAACAACAACAAGAAGACAGGAGAGAAGTTCAGCTACTTAGACCAAGTGCATTTGGAGAGTTTGAGATTTACTATACTGTAAATGAACCTAAAAAGTATTTTGTATTGTTAAAAAAAAAAAAATCTTCAATTGTCATTCTGTCATCCTTGTCCCACATACTCCCCTCCCCAACCCTTATTCTTAAAAGCCTAGGACAGAGCTGGACAGGCCCTTGTCCTCAGCAGGAAGAGGAGGGAAAGGAGACGAAGGCCCCGTCTAGTAGCCGCCCCAGGGAGCTCTGAGTTACAGCACCCCAAGACCATGAGAATCAGTCTTTAGAAGCCTCTCAGTCTCCTCTGATCTACCTCAAAGTAGGAGGAATAAAATCCTAATTTTGTAAGCACTTGGTAGCTATTTCTTGCCTTGTTACCTATTAATTGTCTTTCTCTCTCACAAAAACAAAACAAACAGAAAAACCTTTATCTATCATCCAAGAATCTCTCTCCTTGAGTTTTTGAGAAAAAAACTAATTCTCTCTTTGATTTACCAAGAAAATAAGCAAAGTTTCATTTTTTATATGGAACCTGGCTTTGGTTCTTCTACCTATTTTAACATGTGTTAAGAAATGGACTTAAGGTAGCAAAATAGATATGGCATAATAAACATGCTGCCTGCAGCCAGAGGGGCTTTCTGAAGGTCCACTCCAGAATGGGATGTGACATGGACATCCCAGGTATTGTTATGAAGGGCCGCGGATCCTGTGGCTACTGAAAACTGACCTACCTTGAGAATAAAGTAAAAAACAAAAAATTCACAATCATAGCTACTGAAAGGGAAATAGAAGAGGACTATGAACAGGCACATGGAGAAAAAGAAGGTCCTGATGAAAGGGATAAAAATTAAAATCACAGAGCTCACAAAACTGCTTCATCATTTACTTGTGGGAAGACTCCTGAGCATCACATAAACATCTGCCTTGGAGAGTAAACACATCTGGTAAGGGGTGAAAGATGCTTCTTAATATTCTTTTGCTACATTTCTTCCTTAAACTAAACTAAAATTTCCAAATTGTCCAGTATAAGAGCTTATTATAATTCTCCATCCAAAATAGATTATCAGCAGAGTCACACATTAAATAAAAAGTACACTTATACTTCAAAAGTTAAGCAATCACTAAAAGAACTGATGCTATATTAAAAAAAATCAATGTGAAAATTAATTACTTTCATAATAGGCTTTTGTGTAATTTTTAAGAGTATAAAAGTACCTGAGAGTATTTAATATGAGAAAATTATTAACCACTTCTTATTAACACACTTTCTTTCTGTAAATACACCCACTTCACATTATTTAATTAAAATTAAACAAAACTATCTTCCTTGGAAAAAATAATACCTATATCTAATAGGATAAATGTTTAGTAACACTGAGTTCAATTTTAGAGCTCTGCAACGTATCTGTCTCAATAATCTAACAACGCAAGAGAGTAAGTGAAAGAAGGCTCCTTTGCAAGATCACTGGCACTGCTGGAAGAATCTTGAAAGCCCTGGTGAAAAATCTCACCTGTCAACAAAACACTAAAAGAAATTTTAGGTTAATTTATTTTATCCCTAAGAAAACTTATGTGGCCTATTTTTAAAAACATTATTTATCTGGTTATGCATTCCTTGATCTAGACTCTAGATTCTAAACTACAGTAAACTGACATACTGAATAGATGTGTATAACATAAGCTTCTTTATATCACGCTCTTGATACTTTATATGTACAAATTATGCATTTATGCCAAAAAATAGAAACAAGTGCCCCTTACGTGACATCTTGCTGTATTTTTCATTATTTGTACCAACTTTACAAATGCTAGCTTATTAAGAACATACTAATATTATACCACATTTAAAGAGAGGTAATCATTACACATGTTAAAATAAATGGTAAACAATAACTTTTGTCATTCTTTTATTCTGAAATTCTCATATTACGATACTTTCGGTTCACATAACTAATCACGCACGTTTTCTGTTTTACTTTTCTATTTCATTATTTGTACCAACTTTACAAATGCTAGCTTATTAAGAACATACTAATATTATACCACGTTTAAAGAGAGGTAATCATTAAACATGTTAAAATAAATGGTAAACAATAACTTCTGTCATTCTTTTATTCTGAAATTCTCATATTACTATACTTTCGGTTCACATAACTAATCACACACGTTTTCTGTTTTACTTTTCTACGAAATTCTCATATTACTATACTTTCGGTTCACATAACTAATCACGCACGTTTTCTGTTTTACTTTTCTATGCTACTTTTTGTGTCTGTGTGTGTTTTTGCGATGATAGATTTTTGGGGGTCAGGTAGAAAATTTTTTACTTTTGGTTGAAGGCCAAGGCAATGGTTGTGTGAAATCTGCCATAGTTTTCACTCTTTTGTATTTTTTTCAGTAACTCTTTTCTGAGAGATAACAGCAATCACATGCTTCTAAGCCATTAGGAGTTAGACTCTGTTAAACCAAAAGGAAATGTTATCAGATCTTCACTGGATCAATAGGACATGATACTAATCATGTTTGCATTCAAATGAAAAACTACTAGAAACATGAAACCATATCCTTAGATAAGCAATGTTAGAATTTTCAGTACTGGCACATGTTGGGCAGTGACAAAACATTTTGTGACAAGGGACACATCTACCAACTTCCTGGAATGAGGGCCATCCTTCCCTCTGTACCAAGTGTCCCATTTTACACACAGTCTTAGAATAAATATTCACAGAATAAATATTCACATTTTTCTTCTACCAAAGGCCTTTGGAAAGTGACTGAAAAATTCCTCTGATTTAACTTGTGCGTTTCATTCACACGCAGTTGGTTGCTCCCTCTATTTCTGTTTCTTTCTATTCATCTTAAAAGGCACATTTACCTTTATAAAAGCTCAAGCCTGCTTAAGTTAGCAAACAACTTGAAATGCAAAGGTTATATAAAAATTTTAAATATTAATCTTACCTCTGGTAGTTTGAGCGTCCCTTGTTCTGAAACAAATGTAAAAATTGGCATTGTCAGTATAAACTTATTTTGTTTGGTTAGCAACCTTAGCTTGTGCTCTGCACCGTGGTAAAACACCACTGCTTTGTTTTCTTAACTGATACCTGTAATGTATTTCCAGGGTCCCTCAGGCTGGGCTAGTAATTGTTTTGCAACCCAGATTCTCTTACCTTATTGGCTTGCCAGGAAAGTGACTCATAGTTCTAAATGACTTCTAGGTTATGCTTAACTTTTTCAATTGTTTATTAAGCAATGTCAATTAACCGCATAAAGCTCCTTAAAGCAGCGGCTTGCACTAAATTTATATTCATGAGAGAAAGCTAGATGCAAACTTTCTTTCAACACACCTCTTTTTAAGAATCTAAACACACTCAGTTACAAAGGTATTGCATTGGCTATTTAAAATAACTGCAAATTTAACCAGTACAATGTTCCATATGAATTATTTTTCATTAAGTGGCTATAACTCATTTTTAATTTGGGGAGGAATACAGTTTGATTTAAAGACGGAAATAAAAAACTGAGAATCAATTCTGATGCTAATTTTCCTTTCATCCTTAGTTTACTTCTATATAAATGGGAACAACAATCCTTTCATTACATTTCAATTCCTAAAAATGACTAACAGTTATAAAAGGCCCTGGGATCTTCAGTTGAGCAATGTGGCAGAAGGGTGAAGGATCGCTCCGTGAGGAAGAGCACGCACTGTATGTGGAAAACACGTGCACGGTGTTTTTGCTTCCTTTCCCCATATCCAGAAGCATGTTATACGAGTTATACATGTTACAGCTTCTCCAGACTGAAAGATAACCCCTCATCACTTTGGGCCCATGTATATACTTTTCACATCCAAAATGACCCATTTTAAAAAATCTGAGACAAGAAGCTGAAACTGACAGAGACATCAGGACAGAAAGAGCAAGCCTAAATGGGAGCTCTGGAGGGTGTTTCTTTAAGAGGTTCTAAGAAGCTCCACAGCCAGAGTTCAAAAGGAAAACTCCTACCAAGACACCCGACTAGCTGCCACAGATTACTTTACACAAGAAGACTGCCTGGGGCATGGAACAGGAAGTTGTTTTTATTTTTTATTTTTTTTTTCCTCTTCCCTTCAGTTTTTCATTTTGTTTTTAAGGACTAATCTTGATTAATGGAAATGTAAGATCCATGGGCAGAAAGTCACCTTCCTGAAGAAAAGCTATGTCCACATTCCTTTGTCAATTTCAAAGACCATCAGCCTGGCTTTCACAGATGACTGCCTTCTATGAAGGCATCTTTGCTAGGCCTAAAATCAGCCTTTACAAAGGAGCATTCCTGCACAAAATGGTGTTTCACTTCTTTTCCTCCCCGTTAGAAACACACAATATTTCAGGAGAAAGATGGCCTAAGAGGGCTGGTTTGGGATGAGGGGCTGTAAAAGTACCATTTGGCTGGCCCAGACTTAGAAACCAAGTTAGGTGAACTTGGGTTCTTAAAAAGGCAGCTGTGATACCTGTTTCACTGGTTTATCCAGAAAGACCTACATATGCCAGGATAGCACTATTCTCCTATTGGTGGGTTAGAGGAAGAGCCTGAACTGAGAATCATATACTGCAGGAAGCACCAAACAGGAGGAGAATCTGAGTTTTCTATCTAAGGAGACTGAGGAAAGCTTCAATATTTTGACATGACCTCTAAAATGGGGAAACCTCAGCCTTTCCAGGCTTGGTGTTCATAAATGAGTGTGCACCTTAATTTCAACTCAGAAGTATTTTTTTTTTTTTTTTTTTTTTTTCTGGTTCTTTGCATAGAAGTATTTTTATGTCTTTCTGAAGTGGGTCTTTTACCACATACTCTAAATATATATTTGTGGCAAAACAAAAAAACCTATGATAACCCATGGGCAGTAGCTGTCACACCATGTTCCGTGAGGGCCCTCTGGGTGTTCCTCAGGAAGAGGAGACACTGGTATTCATGGTGGTCATCTATCTACGCACATCTTCACCTGGGGAACAGATCCAGGAACAGAAAATCTTCATTTACAGGCTCTTTATATCTCTGGGTGTAGGGCTAGGCTGCAAGCTAGCCAGCTGTTGGTGTGGATGAGGACCCATCGCGGAATACAAGAGGGCATGAGGCCCAGTCGAGGCTCAGTAGGGACTGGTACAAGATGAGGAACAAACTAGGTTCAGCTGACCACCTTACTCAACTCTCCCTCCTTCATTTCTTCCCCTTCTTGTTTTCTCCTGCTTTCTTTCTTTGGTGTCTCATCAAGAGAATCAGCTTGCCTCATAATTCTGATTGAATGCTCTACACAGAGCCTGCTCTGTGTAACCACAAAGGAAAAATAGAAAAGGGGGGCCGGCCCGGTGGCGCACTGCTGCAGTGCGCCGCTTGGGATTGCGGTGGCGCTCCCGCCGAGGGTTGCTCACTGGCTGAGCGAGGTGCGGGCGCAGCGCCGAGGTTTGCGATCCCGTTGCCGGTCCCCGGTCTGGTACGGGCATGACACTGAGGGTTGCGATCCGTTGCCGGACACGGAAAAAGACAAAAAGGA